TCCTACGAAACTATAATTAATATAGACGTAATAAGGTATAGAGAGGATATAAATACGGCCTCCTAAAGCTACTCCTAGTTCCCGACCGTTTCTTCTAGAAAATCTCGATAGACTTTATAACTAACCTCCCCGAATCCGATAGCAATTATTACCTCTATATATTTAAGGACCGCCCTAGTAAATAGATCGCCCTAATTAGTACCCTCTTTATAAAAGTAGACGAATATACGGTTTTATTCCTAAAATACTAGGTTAGATATTATAGACTACCTCGGGCGATTACTAACGATAGGGGCACGAATTAGATAAATACGTTCTAGAAAGAAATATATAAACTCCTTAGCTTAAAGTAGAGGTTAAGCTTAGCCTACTACCTATAAACCGACGGAGGCCCGGAACGCGCGAATTAGGATATCTAGATATACCTTCGGAACTATATTAACTAAATATAGTCCGACTAGAACTAATAGTTACCTACGGTAGAGCTAGCGTTTAACTAAAGGCACTAAGTAGGGTTAGGAATAAGACCCTTCTTCGCGACTTATAGATACGTATCTACGTCTTCTATAGTACTAGACGAGAACCTCGCTATCGATAGACAGTTAAATATAGTAAAGTAAGCAGAGGAACTTATAGATAAAATTAAGAAGATCTTAGACCTATATTAAGTATAGATAGTAGTAGTAGCGTAAAGATAGGAGGATAACGTAAATAAAACTAGGATCCTAGCTCCGATATACTAAGTAAGAGATAAGGTCTAGCTCGACCTAAAGAATTACTAGACTAATAGGCCTAAGAAGAGCCTCGACTCGAAATACGCTAAGTATACGGTCGAAGAAGTATTACTACCGGTATTAGTACGACTCTCTATAATTCTAAGTAATATTTACCTAGTATTCTATACCGACCTTCTACGACTAGTAAGTAAAGAACCCTTACTAGGGTAGGAAATCGATAACGAATAGCCGGACCCTATATTATTCGAGACGTACGAAGAATAGTAGATTAAAGAAATCTTATATATAGGAAAGGAAACGAGGTAGAGAGCGAGAAGTAGTTATAAAATAGTCTAGTTACTATAAACCTATAGTTACCTATCTAAGAAACCCTAGAAAATATCGCGGATACTATAGCGCTAGACGATTTCGAAGGGAAATATAGAGAAATCGAGATAAACGATAGACTATTAGGAGAATAGAAGAAGGAAAAGAAACGGAGAAGATAGGATAGAAACCTACCGTTTTTCTATAAAGCGACGATTAGCTGTTTATTAGTTTTACTAACTTGTTTTTTTTTATAGATTGTTTTCGTTTATTTAAAAAGTTTAAAAAGGGGGATCTAAGTTTAGAGTAGAAAAGGATTTTATTTAGGTATTTATAAGTAAGGATCGGCTCTATAGCGGAAAATAAAAGGTCCTCTTAGGATAGAAAAAACAATACCTCCGAAAACATCTTGAGACTACTAGGAACCCTACGGGAACCCTTATTTATTCTTAGATTTAGAATCTAGCGGACTATCGCGGGTAGTACCGAGCTTTAGAGTAGTAAGAACCCCGCTAAAAGAGAAGGTTAGCGCGAGAAAACGGGTAGGGAGCTATATATTACTTACGTCTACGACTACGAAGCTATAATATTAGCGACTATATTCGTTACCTCCGCGGCTACCGCCTTAGAGAAGTAGGTTAGCGAGGGTTTTATCGCGGGAATTAGGAAAAACAATCCTTAATAATAAACCCTACGACTAGGGAGACTTTAAGGCCTTCTAAGCCTTAAGTACCTTAAGCAAGTCGGTATACTTAGTAGCGACGGTACTATAGGTCGCGTAGGTATAGCTAATATAGGCTACGTAGGCTATTTAAGGACTAGATAGTTAGCGAGGCTTTTAGTATAGGAATCGGAACGACTTATAGTAGTATATAAGTAAATCTCTTATAAGAACACTCGGAGTAGGCCCTAGAGCCGGCCGGCTAGAGGAAGGTTAGCGGATCCTATAATAAAAAATAAGTTAGATACCGGACTTAACGACTAGTCCGTATAGTCCTCCCTAAAACTATACTAGCCTATATAGTAGATTCGACGATAGACTAGTTAGAAAGAGATAATTTTATAAGGGAAATCGAGGATAAATAGAATAGTACCTTACTATAGTAGTAGTAGTAGTAGTAGTAGTAGTAGTAGTAGTAGTAGTAGTAGTAGTAGTAGTAGTAGTAGTAGTAGTAGTAGTAGTAGTAGTAGTAGTAGTAGTAGTAGTAGTAGTAGTAGAGATAGTAGTAGAGATAGTAGTAGAGATAGTAGTAGAGATAGTAGTAGAGATAGTAGTAGAGATAGTAGTAGAGATAGTAGTAGAGTAATATAAAGAAAAGAAAAAGAAGAAGAAGAGTAAAGGAAAAAGATTAATACTACTAGAAGCCGATCTAGAAGTAAGGGTCGATAATACTAAGGAAGGCGCGGCTAAAAGTAAAGCCTTTAAAAGGGCAGTTATAGCGCGGTTAAGAAGGCGGATATTAGGTAAAAGCGCGCGACTTAGAAGTCGCGGAGAAAGTAGTAGAATCTAAAACCTAGGATAAGGCAACCCTAATAGAGAGCTATAGGGACCCTAGCTATAAGGAAGGAAGCTACGAATATACTACTTTAGAGAGCTAAGATAAGCGTCTATCTAATATCTTAAGTAATTCCGCTAGAAACTATAATAGATATTCTATCCCTATAGGAGAGTAGAGGGAGGACGGGGGTAATATAAAGGGCTACGCCCTAGGTCGAAGATACTAGCCTTAGGTATTCGGCCTATACGGTCTAACCTACCGCTTAGCGCTTAGCGTACTATATAAAACTATTCGGATTTACCTAGAGAGACTTAGCTCCTTATCGAACCTATTAAGTCTTATACTTAGTATCTACGTACGCGTTACTTACCTATAATACTTAATATCTAAGAGAGAAAGAATAAGGATTTCGTTAGAATATTAACCTAACCTTAAATATATATTTAGATACTTCTAACTACGCTATATAGCCGAAAGATCGCCTACTAAGAAGAACGCCTAGGAAAATAATTACTACCTAGGAGGTATAATATAGCTATAAGCTAACCCTCTTAAGAGAATACGTCTTTAGTAGAGCGACGGTCTTCTTCTATTTATAGGCCGTTTTTAGGTATAGTATTCTCTACTCTATACTACTATTTAAACTTATTAGGATCTAAGTTATAAGAATCCAATTCCTTTCTAAGATCTATGACTAGGCTACAGATATACTTAGTCTATTAAGTCCGTTATTACACGACGAGCTACAGTCCGAACTAGGGCTATCGCTTCTACTACTATCTCGTAGTTCTAGCAAAGGTACTCTTCTAGACTCTAGGGTCTAATCTAGGATATCTTTATTATCGATTGTATAACTAATTACGGTTTTAGCGACTACCTTTCTCTATAAATTTTAGAATCCTAGAATAGGTCTACTAAAAGACTATCGAGATTCGACGCTATACTTACAACTACCTCTACAGTACGCTCTTCCCTAATCGTAATATATATAACTTCTATCTACTATTATAATTCCTTTATATACAATTCAGTAGATATCTCGTATAGAAACGAGAAATTTAAATATAGATTAAAAACTTCCTTATATAAATAGTCTCTAGATTAATACCGTACTAGCGATAATCTCTACTACTAGTTATTTTCTAAAGGGATAATATACCTCAGAATTATTCGCTTTATAACCCCTAAGTATTTATAAAGCGTAAAAGTATAATATTATTAGTGCTACCTCTTCTAACTCGTCTACTACGATAGTATAAATACTACGACTATACTTCCTAATACTATCGTAGAAGGGTTTCGTATATCCTAGATATATAATACTCTAGATATACCTCTACCTACCTATAAGATACCTATAGCCCCTAGAGTAAGTCGAGGCCGATATACCTTATTATATATCCTATAGTCCTAAATAAGCCGCCTTATCCGAGCTACGGTAGTATTTAGGAAGATCGAAGACTATATTAGACTTATTACTATTAATAAAACATACCTTGTCTATAGATAAAATAACTTTAGTAAGGAGTTTAGTTTAATATAGTTATTACGAGAGGCTCTTCGTAATATAAGCGGAACTTAAGCTAGATAAAGCCCCTCTCTCTTTATATTATAAACTTATAGGTAGAACTCGGACTATATTAGGTTCTACTTACCGTTCTATTTATTAGCGGATATACATCTATTTTCTTCCCTAAGTATATTTAATTTAAGATATTTTAGACACTTAAGACTAGTATCTATAGTATAGTCTATAATTAATCTAATCAATCTAGACCCCTCTAAATTAAATTAGATTACTAGGACCCCTAGATTAGATTAAATTAGATTGCTTTAATAGGGGCTAGATCAGATTAGATTAAATTGCTAAATTAGTAAGAATAAGCTAAATTGAATTAGATTGAATTACTAAGCCTACCTAATTTAGCGCTTTAGGCCCTAGATTAAATTAGATTACTTTAAATAGGGCTAGATTAAATTAAATTGCTTAAGAAAGGGGCCGGATTAGATTAAATTAAATTGCTTAGTTAGTAGGAATAAGCTAGATTAGATTAGATTGAATTACTAAGCTAATATAGATTACAATCCCGGATTAATTATAGACTATACTAAGTATCTATAAATTTAGCCGTATACTAGCGCTAGGTAGATATAGGAAGGGTAGTATAATACTTTTACTATAGATTAAGATAAACCTTACTATTTATACGTTATAATATATATACTCGTAAAACATTATCGCTACGGTAGCGAAGGGGCTATAGATAGTATCGTCGTTAGCTTTCTTTTAAAGTTCGCAAAGCCGAGATAAGATCGGATTGCCGGCCCGACCGACCGACAAAGCCGATTCTACGTATGCTTCCTATCTTAATCGGCTATCACACCCTCTGGCATTACACTACTACTACCATTTGGTACAATTTTCCCCTTTAGTACAACTCTATCTGGTACATTTCGTCTAGTGCGACTTCATCTGATACAGCAATTGCTTCTTGCTCTCCAGCCAGAGAAGCCACTTCTCTCCTGTTGCTACACCCTCTATCCGCACGTCTCGCACTGAACATCTCAAAGACACCGAAACGCGAATCCAATTGCCTACACAGCGACATCCCCATGCTTCCTCCACTACCCCCACACCCGACACCCACATGCCCGTTGCCCTCGAATGCGGCTACCCGACGGCAAGCTCGGACACACTCTACAACACCTTCATGTCGTGACGGCCGCCTCGTCCGCGACAGCTCTGAGCTCTGTTTCCCGCAAAGACGCATCTCGGAACCTCCCATCACCCCCCACAAACATCCTTGATTGCGAAAAGATTGTCGCGTGGGCCATAGACGCCTCCAGCATGCGCCGCTGAATGGAGGCCATTGCGCGCGCCGAATTCACTCCCATGTGAATCAGGAGCAAAGAGAAGATACTGGCGTTGCGGATGTGCTCAAACACTAGCGTTGTGGACATGCCCGGCTGAATGGAAGCCATTGCGCGCGTCCAAATCACTCCCATCTGAATCAGGAAACAAATGAAGGTGGTGGCTTTGCGGAAGTGTCTAAACCTGGCGTTGTAGACATGCGCGGCTCAATCGAAGCCATTGCGCACGCTGGAAATGAATCCCATGTGAATCAGGAACAACACGAAGGTGGGGGCGTTGTGAACATCCGCTCGGCATCTTGCCCGCACTCCCTCCAATCTTCCCATCAAAGTAATCAAGTTAATCTGGTAACGTAGTCCTGAGACCAGCGCGCTACCCACACCACACCGTCTGTCGCCTATGCTCGAGCACCTTCCACAAAGAACCATTGGAGACCAGGGTGTTCAGACCGAGCAGTACGTGGTAGCATGAAACCTCAGCGCCAAGAGTTGCCCGCTGTTCGTAACACCAGTACAAGTAAGCATCACGACTGCAAATCCCGTCGCCGCCGCCGCCGCCGCGCATAGACCCGCTCGCTTCGCAATCTTTCGTCCTGTCAGCTCTCCTCTGTCTTCCTTTCCTTTCCTCCTCGGCCTGTTATCCGTCTCCTTTTCCTCTGCTCACTCAATCTGCACAACGAAATACCACCCACGCAGGCAACATGGGGAAATCGAACAAGGCGACGACATGGGAGCAGGATCAATACCTCCAAGCATTCGCTGGGCTGACCGTGAACCAGCTCAAGTCGCGTTTGTGCTGCAATCTGTTCGCCCTCTCCATCTGACTGACATTCTCGCAGAGGCAACCGACGAGCCAGACGGCGTATTCAAGTTCAGCGCCAACGAGAAGGCCCTCGCACTCCAGCACGCCGTCAAGAACGTCTACACCGACAAAGTGCCACCACCCATCAACGTCTTCATCCACCTGGTCACCGGCGTCATTCCTGTTCCAATCCAGTACGGCCTCGATGCCACGGAAGCATGTCTTGAAGGTGTCCGACGTCTGATCATGCACGTCATCGCAGAGGCGACCAAGCAGGGCCTCGTTCACTCCGAGGACGTTGGCAATGGAGTCTGGAAGGTCCACGTGTCGACACACCTCATCAACTGGGATGGCACTGGAGGCTGGAAAGCGGTAAGTGGTGCTTGCTGTTGTGGGAACGATCGGAGTGCAGGGAGTTGACCATCTCGCTGACATCTCTCCTTCAGATCAAGAAGCCTTCACTCTTCCCCGAAGGCCCAGTGCAGCAGAACGAATTCGCATCCTACCAAAAGCTTGTTCCCAACGCTACTTCCGCAGAATCCTGGGCCACTCTCATCAAGATGGCAATGCACCACTTCGCCGCCACGGCCAACTCGCAAGTCGTTGCCCAGGCCGCCAATACCATGATCACTCCACGAGTTCTCGCTGCTCCCACAACCGCCCTCGCCGGAATCACCAACACACCTGCCACCACTTCTACCTACCGGCCATCCAACTTCACTGACCAGCCCACACACGAGCAAGACAACCAAATGAATGCATACTACGCCTTCAGACGCTTCTTGGGTCGACACAACATCGAGGCCAGACATGGAGTTGCTCCGCCTGCTCATGTGCTCAAGACTTTCGCTTGGAATGGGGGTAATGGCGAGAAGCAGCCTGGACATGATTACGTCAATTGGTGAGTTTGTGCCTTCCACTACTGCACAGCACGTCGTCTTCGTCAGCCAGGTCGTCCGACGGTTGTGTCATCTTCTTCCATTGCCGCTGACTTCTTTTTTCTTCCTCGTCGCGCAGGGCGCTTGAGATGTTGTCTGAGGGTCACCTTACCGCGGAGGATTTCCAAGGTCCGGTTCCGGGAATGGATGAGGAGTGAGATGAGGAGGAAGTCAAGATCATCCCCATTCGAATGAATGAATTCCAGTGGTGGATGTGGAACTTGTTTGGCTGAGCGGCCACATTGCGAGAGCGCGGCGATTACTGGCATTGGACGCTTGCGATGGGACCACACAACAACCATATGTTGTTTGAAGCATATGCGGCGTACAATTGGACGTAGGAATGAATACCAAGTGAAATTTCATAACATGGGCTAGCCTGGCGCTCTCAGCATTGCCTCTGTGTCGATATCACTCCCTCGAGCCCTTGGATAACATGATGATTAACACCAAACGCTCCCATTCTCCTCGAAAGAGACTGATACCGGCACCACACCTGTACGCAATGCAGTTTCGCATGCACAGGTGGGCGGTATTGCTTTCTCTCCACCTCCGTCCGTCATTATCTCGAGCGTGAAATCTTGCAGAGTCTCGTGTATCTGATAGTTATGAACATCAACGCGGCGAAGGCTACTATTGAACCTGGCATCACGTTCGCGGTATCGCACGAGTACGAGGCCAAAAGCGAGATACGGAGACCGGAGTACAGCATAGAGATGAACTAGATCGGGTGGATCTGCAATATGAGGGGCGTGAACGTAAAGGTAACGGCGAGAGAATACGCTTAGGAGATATACGCGTTAAAGGTCGAGTTTAGTCGTAAGAGAAATCGTAGGCATAGTAGGCGTCCTTAGCTCTATAATCCCCTACGAGGACGCCGGATTTATATAGAAGTATAGATTCGCGGAATACGCGGTTACTAAGGTCTCGACTAATACGATAAGAGCTTATTAAGGTATATTTATAATAGGATAAAGGTCTATATATTCTACTCCTTATTTAGAGACGTAATTGCGATCGCTAACGGTAATCTTACTATTACTTCCTAGATACTTATAAGAGATATATAAAATATAGTAGAAGTCTTATATTATAAGACTTAAGATATTAATAAGCGGACGTCTAGTATATCTCGAGATAATCGCCCTAGGCGAATCTATAGTAGAGAAAACAAGGGAGTCTATAGCTAGACTTATAATAGAGTTTAAGAGCTTAACCGTAGTTATAGTATACTTTATAATAGACGTACGCTCGATAAGAGAGCTTAAATAAATCTCTATACCCTCGGACGATATTGTATACGTAACTAGATATAGGATCCTTAGGTAGATAAAAAGAAGGCAAATAAGGGGTTCTTTTTATTAGAAAGGCTCTTATATATATATACCTATTTTAGAGAGACTAGGAGTAGTCTTTAACTAGACTCTATAGTAAGAAGAAAGAGTTCTCTATATACTCTAGCTAGTAACGCCGCTAGTTAATAGAAACCGGTTTATCCGCTACTATATTAGTATTTATCCTTAACTATCTTTTCTTCCTTTTCTTTAACCTTATCTTCTTATTCTCCTCTCTCTTCTCTATCGTCGTTCGTTATTAAGCTTATATAACTCGTTAATATAATATCCTAATAGTCTTAATTATACTTATCTACGCTAGAAAGATCTATTTATATTAGGCTTCTCCTTCTTCTTCTCGTTCTAATCTATTTTTTTCTTCTACTCTAACTCGTTATTTTAATATCTAAGATATCCTTACTATACTCGTAGACGCTAGAAAAATCTATATTTGCTAGCCTTCTCTTAATTTTCCTTATTCTAGTTTTTTTTACCTTCTTTATCTCTTCCCTCTTATTAATAATTAAGCTTATATAACTCGTTAATTCGATATTATAGCTATCCTTATTATATCTAAGAACTTCTCCTCTAAGCCTCTATATATATATATATATAAAGTACTTACTCGAGGGTATAATTAGGATTATACCTTCTTAATATAGAACGGTATATTTAAAACAAGATTAGGGTAGAGTTTCTAAAGAGAGAGTTATTATTTTTAAGGTATATATATAATATATTATCTAAATATACTAGGCAATCTATAGTATTTTTTAGTATCTTATATAGATTCGTCGTTATATTTCCGACGACTATAATAGGTATACTTCTCTATAATATATATAGTACCCGTTTCGTCGGTATTGCTCGAGTTAAGCTTTAAATTAAGCTTCGAATTAAGATCCTCTGCTCTACTTCTAGCGAGGTAGAGGTAGAAAGCTTTTACTAGCTAAGCGTACTTACTCTATTAGCGAGATATTATACTATTAAAATGCTTTACTTCTTAGTTTAAGGATAGTAACTCCGGGAGCTTAGAGTTCTATACGCTACCCGGCCCTTCTATCCTATATCTAGAGAACGTAAAACGTCTAACTTAATACTTATATCTAGCGTAACGGTACCTCCGATTCGATATAGAATTAGTAGTCTAGTCTATAAATATAAAAGAAGTTACGTTCTCGTAAGTTCCTTCGACTACAATACTCCTATAATATTACTAACTATAACCTAATAAACGCTTCGAAATCCGAAGTTATACGCTTATACTAGCGCCTTTAAAATGTTATAAGCAACGCGCCTCTTTCTCTTAGAGCTACCGCTAAGCCTTCTTTTATAACTTACGATTAGTTTAGTAGAGAGAGGCTCGAACTTCTATAAAAGAAGCTAGTAAAGGAAGATATTATCGCTTATAAATCCCTAGACTATCGAAAGTAAACGAAGGTAGTAGATTAGAATAATAAGCTATCTCCGAAGGCTATATAGATATATACTAAGATAGATAGATAGCAAACGGAGCGTCTAGACTAGATATCGAGGACCGAGGACGAGGCTCTATTATCTCTAGCTTATTATAGAGCCTATAAAGAGCTAAATATAGTAATCTAGATATAACGATATTAAAAAAACTTTAAGCGGAAAACCTAACTTTTTTTGCTCTAACTCGGGCGTTTCCTACTACTATTTAACTAAAGCCTTACGTACTTACCTAAGCTATACGAGATACCTCTAATAGGCTAGCTTATATCTATAATAATAGGCGAGCTAGGCGAAGTATCTAGTCCTAAGTCGCTAGATAGTAGTAGAGAGATAGAAGTTAAGTAGGAACGAAATACTAGGGAGCCTATTCCAATAGAGATAATAACGAGGAAATAGAAGTTAGGTAAGAATGAAATACAAGGGAGCCTTTTAGATCCTATCTACTACCTATATTTAATAGGAATAATAATTAAGGAATGCTCTAGACCTAGTTTTTATTATATATAAGCGATAACCCGATAGAATTACTTACTATCTGAACAAAGAACTTACTAGCTACTTATATATCCTAGCGCTAAGAATTACAAGCTATTACTAAGCCGTAAGTAAATAATCTTCTAACTTCCTTCTCCTTCTCTTACCTATAAATCTAACTAGTCTCGTATATTCTCGGGTATTCTAATATTCCTACTACTTAGCTATCTAGTCGTAAACTGAATAGCTAAGTCCTAATCCTTCCTAATCGATCTTATCCCTAGGACTCTTTTTACGTTTTCTTCGAATTTTCCTTTAGTTAGGGGTTTAGTAAGGAAGTCCGCGAGTTAGTCTTTTATTAAAATATACTTTATGTTAACTAGCTTATCCTCGACTAGTTCTGGTACCTAGCATGTCGATATATTTCGTTCTATAATAAAGTTCCGGATTTTGTATATAAGCGATAGCTGCCTTATTGTCCCTATAGATAGTTATAGGTTCTTATAGTCGTCTTCCGGAAAGTATCTAACTTACTAGAGAAAATTTCGGATCTAAATAGCTTCTTTTATAGCGTGGGATAGCGCCAAGTATTCGGCTTCTACAGTACTAGTTATTATAGACCTTTATAGTTTAGTAGACTAAGATATAAGTCCGCCGGCTAGTAGGGATATATATCCTATTATTAACTACCTAGTTAAGCCTACCGCGTAGTCCGATTTGGTTTAAATAACCGGTAGACGAGTAACTAAAGTACTTCTATTATTTTCGTTCCTAGGGATAGGACTATACTTTATATAGTAGCCCCGAGTATTTCCTAGGTATCTAAGGCCGTAACTACCTCCGTCGTAATGTCTCCTAGCTAGATTAACTAAGGATTAGCTTAGTCGTTACGTTAGAAAAGATATATCCGGCCTAGTAGCTCGTATAGTCTAATTTCGTTTCCCGATAAGTCGTTAGTATTTCCCTTCTCGTCCTTTATAATAGATAGTAGATTTGCGTATCCGTTCGCTAGAGTCGATTCTCGGAAGGTTTCGCCTAGATCTAAGCCCTTTTCTCTAAGTATATTTTCGATATAGTACCTTTAATCTAGTAGGATAGACCCGTCGGCTTCTCTCTCGATTCCTACGCCTAGTATAAACTTAGCGCGACCTAGATACTTTATTCTAAACCTCCCTATAAGCCCGTCCTTTAGCGGCTAAATCTCCGCTTCTATCTTCGCTAGTATAATAAGATCGTTAATATATAATACGACTACTAGTATATAGTCGCTATTAACGAAGACTTATTAATCCGTAGATATAGCGTAGAGGTTATACTCTTTAAAGAAAGCCGTAATAGTCTTATTATAAACTCGTCCGGATTGCTTTAGTCCCGATACTCCCTTTAGGAGTTTTAGTACTTTATTAGTTCCGGGAACGTCTAGGCCTTCCGGGATAGCTAGGTAGAACTCCTCTGTTAGTTCTCCGAGTAGATAGGTACTTACTATATCTATTAAGAATATAGTAAGTCCTTTACTAGTAGCGATAGCTAGATATAGGCGTAGGCTTTTAAGACGTATTACTAGAGAGAACATTTTAAAGTAATCGATTCCGTAGCGTTATATAAAGCCCTTTTCTACTAATCTCGCCTTAAACTTATTAATCTACTCGTTCGATAGTATCTTTACTTTAAAAACGTTTTTTAGAATAATAACGTTTATTTGCCCTTTTCCGTCCTTTAGCTTAGAATAGTCGATAATCTCGTAGGTATTACTAGCCGTTAAGGACTCGATATATTCTTTAATAGCGTCTTTCTATTATTAGGAGTAAGGGCCGTTAGTAGCTTCTATATAGGTCTTAGGGATAGGTATCTCGAAGGCCTTTCGATAGTCGACTTTTAGAGCTACTAGCCCTATCTCGTCCCTTAGTCTCTTCGATACCTTAGGGATCCTCGTAGTCCTTCTTTATCCCCCTTTGTTTATATTTAAAGCCGTAGAAGTAGTAGACGGTTCTCGAGCCGCCCTTTCGTTATCGTTATTTAAGCCGTCTTCTTTGTCTTATAGTTCTAGAGTATTATTTCTAGCTTTAGGATTATCTCCCTCTATTTCCTTAAATTCTCTTTTATCTAGGAAATCGATATCGTTGTCGTCCTTGTCTATAATAGGCTATAGGGTACGTAGCTCTTCTCCGGATAGTAGGCTACTATAAAGGGCTACGCCCTAGGTAGAAGGTACTAGCCTTAGGCATTCGGCCGATACGATTCTAACCTACCGCTTAGCGCTTAGCGTACCGTATAAAACTATTCGGACTTACGTAGATAGACTTAGCTCCTTATTAAAGCTATTAAGTCTTATATCTAGTATCTTTATACGCGTTACTTCCCTATAATATTAGATTCGACCTTTATTATAGAAAATATAGAGGTTCGTTAGGAACCTAAGGAAGATAGCTAAAGAAACGCTA